TGTGCACCCGATTTTTTGAAATTTTTGATTAGAGGCAATTTTGTTAGAGGCACTTTTCACCTTGGGAATCATATATTTTGGTTAGAGGCAATATCGTTAGAGGCATTATTAAAAGTGACACTGAAATCGAAAAATCGGGTTAGAGGCAATATTGTTAGAGGCAGTGATGCCACCTCATGTCCTCACTTTTCTCGTAAGAAACACTTTCCAGTTTTGCTCTTCCATGGTTTGGCGAAAAGAGACGATAAGATTCGAACAGGCAATATTTCAGGGGGGGAAAATGGAAATATCCACTTCACGTCTCCGGATACTGAGAGAGGGAGACGCTCTGCAGCGCGGGCCTCCGGATACTGACACAGACAACTGGACACGAAAAACGGAAGATTTACTGCCAACACGAACAAAGTGAAAAAATAAAAACAAGAGGAAGCAAATATCTTATGAATGTGTTGAGATTTCCTGTTAGAAAATTGATCAATATTTGCTTAGAATCTTCCTAATTAATAGGACTAGTTGACACGAAAAATAAACAACCACCTCCTTCTTTTCGGGAACGAGGTTGGTGCAGTTGCAGTAACAGCGTTGTCATGTCGGCAATGTCAGCCTCATCACATCATAGTTAGCGAAGTGAATCATTCAATACGTCTTAAAACTGGAAAACTTGAAAAATGTGCAGGTTAACGTTTACAACTAGTCATGGAGCATATTCACGTTCTTGCTCGATGTAAACACACGTATTGGCATTCCCTCCCTGTTGCCAGATTTAGTAGTATGTCTCCGTAACGCACATCTCTCTTTCTCTTTCTCTCTCACTCTTACTACACACCCGACCCCAGTGCCTTCGACCCTCAGCCTCGTCTCCTGAATGGTGTGTGGAGATTGTTCGTCTAGGAAAGAAATGGATCCCCCTCAAGCATCGGAAATGGGTAATAATCCTCCAGGCGAGGAGGTACAGCCTTTCCTATAAGTCTAATTAGACTAATTGTAGAAGTGATTTGTTGTTGAACTGTTTGTTTTCTCTTGTCTCATTAGGATTCTCCACTGAAGACGAAGAAAGAAAAGAAACCTGCTGCGCCCAGGGTCCGGAACCGTGCTAACAATACTAACAATAAAGGATCAAAAATAGGAAGACCTCCAGGGTCTAAAAACCAAATTTATAAGGGCGACTTGCAAGACCAGAAAGATTTACTTGAGCAGCAGAACGCTGCCTTAAAAAAGAAAGTGCAAGCCCTGCTTTTAAAATCAAAAGGTAATCTTTAAACCTTGTAACCAATCATATTAAGCTTACTGCTTACGTCATTTTTGCGTACTTCCTGGTCTTATCTTATTTGTATACATTTATGTTTTGATTAATGTTATTGGCTTTAATGCCTTTCTTATAACTCGACGAACCTAATGTGATTCACAGGGTCTGTTGCTTTTAAAAGCAATGAAGCATTTGCTGCATTTGCTTAATTTTTCATAATTCGTTTACTCATTGATTTGTTTCTGTATAAGTAGGGTAAGGGGCCCAGTAGTCGACAGTTTAAGAGCAAGGCTTTTCAAAATTGCCTACAACGGAGCGTGGGTGTACGGTAGCGTCAAGGAAAAATTTCGGGGGTGTAGTGGACGGATTAAACTTTATGCCCCATAGGTCGAAAATGGAAATAAATACATTTTTGTACACAAAAATGTAAACCAAAGAACAACGTTCATTGGCCCAGTAGTCGACACCTTTGGCCCAGTA